CGCTGGTCTGAATATTTCAAGATTAGCAGCGATCATCACACCCGCCGCTATCAAAGCTAACGACACAGGACAGGACGCCCCGGCCTTAGAAATATGCCGTTGTGTGAAAACGGTCTTTGGCGCAGAATCGGTCGGCTGTCGTGACTTGAAAAATATCAACAACGTCATTGATGAATCGACTTCCGCTCAACTTTCATCAGATTGTGGTGCACAACAACAACAACAACAAAAAGTCGTAAGTTCTTCAACTTCTATGTCGTCATACACACAAGCTAGCTGGAACAGCGCTAGCCTGGGCGCCGGCGTGGAAACAATTGATCCAATTTAAGTAAGTAAGCGAGCCAACCTGTGTGACAAGTCAGCGACGAGCGTTCGATCATTGCGATTTTTCGCCAACGACCGGATGATTCCCAGAAGTAACCAGACAATTTGATGCATCCCGCTGAGCTGTCATCGATGCGAATCGACGTCGACGTCGGAACTCCCCGCCGGCAGGTGGCGCCGGTCGCCCGATTTGCGGCGGCGCCACCTGGGCTCGGCCGATAGGATTAAAGGATTATTGTCAACTGGCGCTAAACTGCGGCGCACGTGGCGTCAGGGATAACCGCGTCACGCTCGTACACGCTGAAAATATCCCACGCCTTTGAACCCGACAACATCCCGGGCTGCGTCACCACGGCAACGGACCATCAATTGACGGGAGAGCGGGGGCAGGGCAAGAGACGGGTTACCCTGGCAACCAGACTGATGACTCAGCCGAAAGACTCCTGGATCCTGGAATCTCTCCAGAAACACGTGCGTGCGCGTACACACACACACACACACACACACACACACACACACACACACACACGCACACACACACACACACAAACAACCCACAATTGCGCACACCAACATCCACAAATAAGTGCACAAATGCAACATTAACTCACAAAGCACACCCACACAAATACAAACACACTTACACAAATTCTTACATAAAACACACAGCACATGCCTGAACAAACACGACTACCCCCCCCCACACACACACACAGACGCACATACACATGCACAAAAATAACACACAAATGACAAAAGCACATGCAGCACACACCCCGCAGTGATTATTTTATGAACTGCAGGCCTCAAACTGACTTGAGCTACATCATCCAAACTGCTTGTGCGTGTGTGTGTGTGTGTGTGTGTTTAGAGGACGAGAGACCCCTAAAAGAAAAAAGAAAGGGAAGGAAATGAAAAGTAGCACAGAGTTTATCCGCTACCAAAGGTCCATGGCCACGCAGAGTCGCTGATAAATGGCAGCGTGACCTTCAAGAGCAGCGTGACCTTCAAACGGCGCCAAAGTCAGCAGGAGTGCGGCGACGCACGGCAACTTTAGGCCTCGTCCAACTGACCTTCGTTGGCGTGAACAGGCTGTAAACGACAGCGGAGACAACGGCTACAAAGAGAGCAAAGAGTAACCTTCATCTTCGTCCTGTGAGAGCGAGCGGACCTTTTCATCTGCCCCCCCCCCACCGCCATCCCGTAACATCTTTCTTGTCAAACACCGCCGCTGCGTCAGCACATTGTGTGTGGATGTGGATGTATTTTTATGTGACTGGTGTGCGCACGCGTGTGCGTGTTTGGGCACACACACACACACACACACACACACACACACACACACACACACACACACACACACACACACACACACACACACATGATTCAGGCGGGGAAAAAAATAAAGTCAAAAGCAATATTTGCAATTATGAAGAATTAAGAGACTACTGTATCATGCTTTATCGATATGATTCCAATGAATGAGCCACTGATCGTCGTATGAAAAATGGCGGCGGCCCTTTCATAGATCGTGAATCAAAAAGCATGAGATGAAAGTAGACGGGTAGAAAATTACATCAGATGGCAGATGCACGCCCCCCCCCCCACCAGGGTGTTTTGTCATCCTGTGACCACTCTGCTGAAGAATGCTTTTTGCGCATATGTTTTGTCCATGCTTGTGTGTGTGTGTGTGTGTGTGTGTGTGTGTGTGTGTGTGTGTGTGTGTGTGTGTGTGTGTGTGTGTGTGTGTGTATGCATGGGGGGGTGGAGTCGATGGGGGCGGAACAACTGACAACTGACTGTGGTAACTCTCTGTCAATCAATCATCTAAGTCCTCAAAGATTGTGCAAATGGCCGCCGCTGGAGGGTGGGATTAAACGTTATTGTTAAATTCCAACACAAACTAGAACTCTTCATGACCTCCAACATACGCTTGGCCTTCAGCTCTCACTTTTGTCCAAACGTGCATGTAAAGATGATCCTAAAAGGTCATATTGTAAACGTTCAACAACTAAACACCCTGAACTGGTCGCCAGCCAATCGCAGGGCACACACAGACAAACAACCCTCCACATTCACACTCACACCACGGGACAATTTTAAGTGTTCAATCAGCCTGCCATGCATGTTTTTGGAATGTGGGACGAAACCAGAGCACCCGGAGAAAAGCCACGCAGGCCCGGAGAGAACATGCAAACTCCACACAGGAAGGCCAGAGTCGGAATCGAACCCGCTACCTCTGCACTGTGAGGTCGACACGCTAACCACTCGACCAGCAGGCCGCCCGCCATGTTATTCGTGAAAGCAACCAAAAAAATCTGACTTGATTTTCTTCTCGACTCTTTTGCACGTCCAACATATTATTGATGTTGTTCTTGTTTTATTGCAAGTCTTTATTTTGAGCTGAAAAAAAGAGAGTGGTGTCTGGGAAAAATATGACTGCTTGTCTTGTTTTATTGTGAATTTTTATTTGAAAAAATGTCATTTGATCGAGGTTGCATGATGACTTTTGTCTTGTTTTCTTATCACTTTTTATCTTGGTGAAAAGAAGGAATTTAATCTCTTAATTTTGATTTTATTTACGATTAACTTTTTTTTTAAAAAAAATATATTAAATGCAGCTGTCATGGCAATGTATCTTTTTCTGGAGAAAAAGAAATCCTTGATTACTTTATTCTCTTCATACTGAATTTCTATTCATGCTTTACTATGAACTGTTCTCGTGATAAAATACAACCATCCTTTTTCCTTGAAAAAAAATATTTTTTCTTGATTTTTTTTTCAAATTTTAATCTGAAAAAAAATCCAATGTCGTTTTGGTAACACTTTTTTCCTTCAATAAATCTTTGACTTAATCTCTGCTTTTTGTGCAAACTCTTATTTGGAAAAACATGACTGCTCTTTTTCTTGTTTTATTGCATTTTTTTTTTGTTGTTTCTTGGTGAAAAATATGATTTTGTGCTGTTCATCCGGACTTTTTCTCTCTAGCTCGCTATCTTGGAAAAAAGACACAACCTCCTTCGGTAAAGTTTTTGTTTGCCTCTCCTGCCACCGTCACTGTTCGCGGTGCGTCGGCGAGCGCTCGACTTTTTCGCTCACCTCCTCCGTTCTTGTAGCACAGGTACGGGAACCTCCAGACGTTCCCCAGGCCGACCGCGAAGCCCACGCACGACATGATGAAGTCCATCTGTCTGCTCCACGTCTCGCGCTCCTGACGCACCGGCGGCGGCCCCACGACCACGCCGCCTTTTTTGCCCTCGGCTCCGGCTCCGGCTCCGGCCGTCCCGGGTCCGTTCGGGCTGGCCGCCGCAGCCGCCGCCGCCATCGGCCCTCCCCCGAGCTGACTCCTGCTGGCCTCCTCCGGGGGCAGCAGCGAGCAGGTGGAGGAGACGGGCGGCGCAGTCTGCCTGTCCATCAATTAAAAAGGCGCTCGGTCAAAAATATCCAAAAGCTTTTTTTTTTTGCCCCTCTCTTTCTCTCTCTCTCTCGTTCTCTCCCTCCCTCTCTCTTTCTCCTCTCGAGTGTCAGCCGTCAATCAAATCAAAGTGGCAACGTTCCAGAAGAATCAAACCCAAACAAAACGTCCAAAGTGTTCCGACGTCGAGATTCAGAAACAATCCACAAAACACTTGAACGTCAGCTTGAAGAATCTCATCGGCGGGCAGACTGATGGGAGGGAAGGGGGGCGAGGGGGGGAGGGCGCGGGGGGTCCTTCGCCGGAACGCGCACGTCTTCACCGAACGAGGCGCAAGCAGGGTGGGGGTTGGCTTATCCCGCCGCTGATCCTGTGAGCGGCCGCGCGGCCGGCGCGAGCCTTTTAAAGGGGATGCTGCGCAAGGTGGCGTCGCCGCGCAAGCCCCGCCCCAACCTTTTTTTCTGACGTCACAGTCAAGGGTCTCCCTCGCGCAGTCGCGCTCCGGAATGAAGGGCAGCGTCAATGAATGAGCCTCATTAATGGGAATACCGCGCCAGGATTGTTGTCATGCGCGTAGTGGAGCATGTTTGGATAACACGCGCGCACGCACACACGTGAACGCGCACACACAAATCAAGTAAACATACGCGGGCTAAGACCCACGCACGTTCAGACACACACATGCACCAATTACAACAGTCACTGGCGCAAACACACTCAAACCATCACACACACAAACTCACACTAGCACGAAGACAAACGACACCCCCCCAACACACACACACACACACACACACACACACACACACACGCGCGCGCGCGCGCCGAACAGTCACGGAATGATACACTGCACACAGTTGCGCACGCACGTGAAAAAAAATCACTCGCACACACTCTCTCACTTAGATTCAACCACCCGCTCATGAGCAATCACACGCCCATGCACATGCACTCACACGCTCACACGAAAGACAGACGCGCACGCAGACAAATGCACACACACACACACACACACACACACACACACACACACACACACACACACGATACATAAATACGCGCGAAAAACTACTCAAGACGACTCAAACACAACACTCTCTCACTCACGCACACGCGCGCAGAAACACAAAACACACACACACACAAACAACCCACAGTTGCACACACTAACATCACTAAAGAAGTGCACGAATGCGACATCAACACACACAGCAAGCGCGCACACACACACACACACACACACACACGCGCACACACGCGCGGACACACGCACACACACACGCACGCACGCACGCACCCAGTCGCACGCACGCGTACTTTTTTCCGCTGCGTGTGTTGGTTCTTTTCGAAACCTTTCCACCTTGTTCTCAGGTCCCTTGAACGATGTTATATAAATCAAGCCTATTTCAATCTGGAGCACTTGATAAACATTGAATGAATGTAACCGTGTCACCAACCATCAAAAGTGCAGCAAGCGACGTAGGGGCGGGATTTAGACGTGACGCCACCACTAAATGGTTTTGATTTCCTCGTCCTTCAACAAAGTGTTTGTCTCCCTCGAGTGGTCGTAAGTGGAAACTACAACCGTGCGCTCTGATAATATGACAGGAGGTCTTCCCAGGATTCAAAAGGTAACTTGAAACCCTTCGTTCAAACCCTAAACTTAAGCCAGGCTTGAAACAATAAAAATAACTCCTAACCCTTGTTAGGCTTGAATCCCTCACGGCAGCTTTTTAGCCTACTTGAAAAATGTATTCCTTGTTTAAAATCCCCCAACCTACCTGAAAACATTGGCATTCGTATGGGGAATTTGCGCCCCCTTGTGGAGTCGCCCTGTATAGAAGAGACACGTGATGAGATCGAGGATGTGAGGGGTACTTTTTGGGAATGACAGGTAATGTCGTTAAAACATTTATCATATACACGGAGGGAAAAGGGGGAAACCAGCACTGGGTCTTTTACGAAAATTTGGGTTACTTTAAAACACGAACTCCAAATGTGCCATGTCAGTACGCACTTTTGTCACGTGAGAACCTCAAATATAAACACATCTATCGCAACACAGAATCATGTGTATCGAAATATTACTTTTAATTTCATTTTGAAATGGTGGCGGAGCTAAATTTTCAGTCATTTCAAATACTGTATCAAGTGAAAAAAATGTAAGACAAGTCCTCTTTAGATATTGTTAGCGGCTGCCTGGCCGTCTGTCTTCTCCCCTGGGGAAAAAAAAAAAAAAAAAAAAAAAAAAAAAAAAAAAAAAAAAAAAAAAACACAAACAAAAAGCAAAAAAGGACGTTTCGCTTCTCTCACAGAAGCTTCGTCAGCGGTAGACAACCCTGAAGTCTCCGTGAAGACTCCGAGAAGAAACAAGACAAGTCCTCCAAAAAACCACGAGGGGGCAGTGCTCTCGAGTCTCGTGTCGCGTCTTAAGATCCTTTCACCTTCGTGTCGCACCTGCACGATAGAGACAGAAGAAGAGGAAAAGGAGGAACAAGAGGTTCATGGTTAGAATCCTGGAGGGAAGCAGGTCCAGGATGTCACTACTTTATGTTAAAACATATTAGTAAGCAGTTTATTGTGACTTGATGGGACGTGTGAGTTAAGTTGGACTGGAAGGCAACAGCAGATTCTTGACTTCTACCAGGAGTAACAAAGGTGGAAAGGGTGTAACATGACACATTCCTGCCTTTTTATCTCGCGCCCTAGCTCCCTATGTGTGTACAAATCCAATTCCAATCAAGTTGGGAGCTTGTGTTAAATAAAATACAATGATCTGCGAATCATGTTCAACCGATATTTAATTGTACACATTACAAAGACAAGCTTTTTCATGTTCAAACTGAGAAACTTTACTGTTTTTAGCAAATAATGGTAAACTTGGAATTTTATGGTGGGAACATGTTGCAAAAAAGCCGTGATAGGGTCATGTTAACCACTGTGTTCCATCACGTTTTCTTTTCACAACATTCAATAAATGTTTAGGAACTGAGGACACTAATTGTCACAGCTTTGTCGGTGGAATTCTTTCCCATTGTTGCCTGATGTTCAGCTTCAACTGTTCAATAGTTCGGGGTTTCCGTTGTCGTATCTCACGCCTCATAACGCGCCACACATTTTCAATGGGAGGCAGGTCGGGACTGCAGGCAGGCCGGTCTAGTATAACCGCACTCTTTCACAACGAAGCCACGCCGTTGAAACGTGCAAAATGTGGTTTGGCATTGTCTTGCTGAAAATAAGCAGCGGCGTCCATGAAAAAGTCGTTCTTTGGATTGCAGCAAGTTTCTTCGAAACCTGTATGTGCCTTCACAGGTGTGTAAATTACCGAAGCCAATGTCACGACCGCAGGCCCAGACCATCACAGATGCTGGCTTTTGAACTAACAGTCTGGATGGTTCATTTCCTCTTTGGCCCAGAGGACAAGGCGTCCGCAATTTCCCAAACCGATTTGAAATGTGGACTCGTCAGACCACAGAAGACTTTTCCTCTTTGCGTCAGTCCATCTTAGAGGAGCTCGAGCCCAGAGAAACTGCGGTCGTTTCTGGCTGGTGTTGATGAATGGCTTTTGCCTGTCATAGTAAGTAGAGTTTCAAGTTTCACTTCGGGAGGTCGTGGCAAAGTGGATTTACTGACACTGGTTTTGTGAAATGTTCCTGAGCACATGTGGCGAGATCCTATGCAACAGGTTGGTTTTGGGGGATTTAAAGTTGGTTTTTGGCCTTGCCGCTTACATGCGGTGATTTCTCCAGATTCTCTGAACCTTTTGGTGACCGTAATGAAATTCCTAAATTCCTTGCAATTGTACATTGAGTTACATTGTCCTAAAACAGAATATTTTCTTATGCAGTTGTTGACAAAGAGGTGGTGAACCTTGGCCTATCTTTGCTTGTGAATGACTGACTAATTGATGTAAGCACCTCAACTCTCAACCGCTATACACAAAGTGCTGTACATGGAGCAAATAACATATATACAACAATATACAATAAATGAATAGCGAAGACAGTAGAAAACACAAAACAGTCAAACTCAAAATCAAGTCTCATGTTGAGTCAAAAGCCAGAGAATAAAAATGAGTTTTGAGGTGAGTTTTGAGTTCGGCAACGAAGCGAGGGGCTTGCCTAATGTTCAGCGGGAGGACGTTCCAAAGAGAGGGAGCGGCAACGGAAAAGGCTCCATCTCCTCGGAGCCTCCGCTTAGTTCTTGGTACCGCTAGTAGTGTCTGGTCCACAGACCTGAGGCAGCGGGCAGGTGCCTCAGGTTTGCGGAGAGAGGTAAGGTGGGGCCAGGCCATTGAAAGATTTGAAAACAAATAATAGGATCTTCAAACGAACTCAAAAATGTATCCGGAGTCAGTGAAGGGATGTCAGAGTAGGAGTTATGTGCTCCCTCTTACGAGTAGCAGTCAAGAAGTGAGCAGCAGCATTCTGGACCAACTGGAGACGCTTCATGGAGGATTGGCTGACTCAAAAGTAAAGTGCGTAACGGCAATCCAGCTGGAATGTGACGAAGGCATGAATTACTGTTTGAAAGTGCTCATGAGAAAAGAGGTTTTATTTTGCCAGCTGAAGAAGAAAGAAGCTGGATTTCACCACGGCACCAATTTGCCTTTTCCCAGTTAGCCTGTTCAACTGTGGGATGTTCCAAACAGCTGTTTGATGAGCATTCCTCAACTTTTTCGCCACCCCCAACTTTTTGGGAACGTGTTGCAGCCATAAAATCGTCAGTTCATTTTTATTTGCTAAAAACAATAACATTTGTCAGTTTCAACATTAAATAACTTGTCTTTGGAGGGCATTTAATTAAATATAGGTTGAACATGATTTGCAATTCATTGTCTTCTGTTTTCATGTTGAACACAACATCGGCGTGTGTGAGTGAAAAAAAGTCAAATCAAGTACAAATTCATTGATCCACCTTCCCACAACAGCATTCAACATTGACAAAATATGTTCCTCTCCGCGACTTCCTCAAGAACTTGTAGGTGGCGACCGGCTTTTGTCCATTTGCAACTTGCTCTCGTGTCACTCAAAACGATTCGACACCAATTGTGACTTTTGATCTGAATTCAACAGGATTTTTTTCTTTCTTTCTTTCTTCAGCAAACAACCCGTTGCTCGGACTGGGCGATTCATGCCAGGTTTTTTTTTTTTTTTTGAACAAAGTGATTTTTTTTAAGTTGCTTCCACTAAAATGGCTGCCAAAGAAACTGGTACGAGCAGAACTTTTTTTCATATTGTTGTGGGGATGAGAACTAAGGCGCCCAGCGGAAGGCAATCAGCCACGACATCGCAAAAGTAGTCGCTTGTCTACACTTCAAAGAAGATTTGACCCGAGGTATGTGCGAACAAGTCAGAAAGGCCAAGGTCATCTTGCCTTACTTGTAAACTTCATGAGGGCGGTGGAGGGTCGAAGGGGTGCGCGCAACGTCCCTTTTTGATCCATGCAGTTTCAAGCTGGAACATTTAAAGTCGATTCAAATCGGAAAATTGATTAGTGTGTGTGTGTGTGTGTGTGTGTGTGTGGGGGGGGGGGGATTTCAGGTTTAGGCCCAGTCTGATGTGCCCTTTGTTCTTTTCACCCACACACTGAAACACAAGCTTGCATTAAATGCAAATCATACACTTACAAAAAATCATAAAATAAAGAATCCCTCCTCCTTCAATGACACCATTTTGAGATGTTTTAAAATTCTGTCAGTCACTTGATAGAGATTAGTTGTATGAAAATAAATCATGATTTTGTTTGATTGACGCATCCATTTTTTTTTTTTTTAATGTCCTCATTTGGGTCGTAAGTGAGCTGGAGCTCATCGCAGATGACTGAGTGACAGGTAAAGTACTGGTCGCCAGTCAGTGTTGGAGCACATGAAAAAAAATGAAGTGGTCGGCAGATGCAGACAAAACGGCGGACAGGTTGCTGGCCAACGTAAGGGCACGTGCAGACAAACAAAATGTTTGCCAGTAAACGTCACATTCAAACAAATGACTGGTCAGAAAAATATATCAAGGTCACATAAATGAGGATTTCATGCGGACAGCTGCTGGCGCGCTCAAGTTCGTCGCCACTTCATGCTGTGGCCGGAGGTCACGTGACTCAACGGGTATAGCTCGCGTCCGGACGAGAAGAGAAGGCACCAGTCTCAAGTCCGCAGGCGGTGCCGCGTTCCTCCTTCCTCGGTCCAACGAGCCGCTCGATAATCAAGCAATCGATCCTTGGCGCGAGCTTAGTGCATTGCGTATCGACAACAATAAGGCTTCTTCCTCCACGTAAGGCGCTTTCTCCGCCACACTTGTGCTTTCTGCGGCCAGTTAGTGGGTTAGGTGGAAGGTCAAGAGCAGACGGGAAGTGAGCGGGCTGTGATCGAAAATCACTTTGCACATTTTCGCCCCTCTAAGTTCCCTGTGAAGAGCCAAACTCACAAATTTGCATGCAAGGTTTCCAATTTTCTGTGATTTTTGCTCCCCTCTAGACCAGGGGTCCTCAACATGGTGTCAGTGGGTACCAGGTAGCCCCCACGGATCCCATGTGTAGCCCACGGGTTCATTATTTAAAAAAAAAAAAAAAAAAAAAAAAAAAAAAAACACACACACAAACTGACTCAGAAGAGAGGGGACATTGTAATTTCCAGGAAATGCTATGTAGAAGGGCTCATCTGAAAATGTAAACTCAACACTTGCCCATTTAGCCGTCTCTTTCTTTGTTCAATCAATCCTATTAATTAATTTTGAGAAATCGTGACCATGATTCGTGTCTTCCGGTACGCTGTAATCGAAGCCGTAATCAACCGTGGTGACCGAATCAGCGCGAGTAGAACCTCCAAATAATTTCGCATTTCATAGGTAAGTGCACGACATCCAAATAGCTACTCTGTGTTCCCCTTGCATATCGAGGAGTCGATTCATACTCACGGTATCACCAATACCTGACTCGCGGGACCTATCATCCACCATTCGTTTTAAAAACTCACCTATTTGCTCTTTTCACAGCCAAGAGGAATATAAAAGTATTGTTTTGGCGCCATCGCGCAGCATCTATAAGCGACTCGAAGCTTCTTTGGCGGAGGGTGTGAATTACTCGCATATTTGAACAATCGACAGCACGGCTCGGTCCCCCCCATCTAACACAGGCTAGCGATGAGGGAAAGAGTGAAGGTTTTCCGAACACAGCCCCGCGAGAGAAAAAAGGTAGAAGAGGAGAGGGGGATTCAAAAGTCACTTGAGCACCACTGACTTTGTCTGAAAGGTCTCCGCCACGGCTGCGTCCTCAGTTCTCGACGTCGAGGGAGACGAATTGAGGATGGGCGACGATTTCGGGAGGCTGTACATGTAGACGGCCGCGATGACCAGCCCGGCGCCGGCGGTAAACAGCCCGTCCACGCGGAAAGCAAACAGGTAGATGGACATGACGGTGGAGATGATGATGGAGAAGGAGGTGGCGAAGCCTTTCAGGATGTTGTCGGCATATTTGACCACCACCGCCACCAGGAGGCCGCCGAACGCCTGGTTGAGGATGACGCCCCACACCATGTAGGTGTAGCCCGAGAAGAAGCCGCGGCGGGCCACGGCGGCGCCGTCGTTCCAGTACAGCGCCAACGTGCCCAGCGCCGTGCCGAAGATACCCAGCTGCACGTTGCGCACCCACACCGATGCCGAGCTCCCCTTCAGGATCTTCTCAAAGTAGACGCCGGCGAAGCCCGACGACAGGCAGCTGATGATGACGGCCGTCAGGCCCGCCACGTAGTTCTGATCGTCTCTCTCCGTCTCCTTGCTGGCCCCCTGCTGCACCTGCCGAGCAAGACGTGGCGAAGAGGTCTGGGTCATATCGGTCTACCAAAAATAGCCCCGCCCCCCTCCGGGTTTGGTCACGTGACGTTCGTGAGCCAAGCTCTTTGGACACTGTGATGTCATTTTCAGAAGGGCAGCAAGCAGAAAAATGGCAGCTCCCAGGGAGAGTTTTAAAAAAAAAGTCGATTTTACTGCTTGATTTGTATTACTACAGTGAAACTCCTCTACAACGAAACCTACATGGGCGAAAATACCCCCTAATGTGAAAAAATCTTCATGCATGAAAGCCATTCCCAGTTTTCTGCTTCCCCTATGACGAAAAATCCCCCTGTTCCGTTATACAAAATCTTTTTCTCTGCTCTTACCACGCGACGGGATTCACTACAACGAAAACAAGCCATCCGCAAAAGTCTAATCCAACTGCTTCGTTCGGAAACGGCAACAGCAACCACCAAACTGGTTTACACATGCGCAGTAGTCCAGGAACTATTTGTTATTGAGTTTCGGACGCAGCAAGAACATTGCATTGCTAAAATGGCGACAAAACGGACCTTTGGATGTCTAGCAGCTGAGACAAGAAGAGCTCTGACTCCGGAAGAGAGGGGAAAAATGATCCAAATGAAAGACGGAAGAAGCAAAATAAAAGACATTATTCAAGAAATTGGGAAGTGTTGGGAAGCAAAAGAGTATCAATGACTTTTTAAAACCAACAGACAAAGTGGAGTGATTAATGTCAAACAATTGTATGTTAATGTTAAACAATATCAAATAAGTGTATGCTCATATTTATGCACTATGCACAGTATTGGAATAAAAATAAAGAGTACACATATACGTTTTGTGTGTGTGTTTGCATCTGAGATCAAATTTGCTACAGTGAAAAACCCCCTGTTGTGAAAAACGCCTTGCTGCAAACATGATTTCGTTGTAGAGGAGTTTCACTGTACCCGTGCGCTGCTTATGCGCCCCCCCCCACCCCCATTAGTGGAGTGTCAGAAGACGAGGGCGGGGGTTGGCCTACCTGTACAATCGCAACACCGACGAAGAGCAGCAGTAGTGAAAACCACTGCACTTTGGACAAAGTCTTCTTTAGCATCAGCACACTGAAGAGCGCCGTGGTCAGAATCTTCAGTTGGTACGTCACCTGAGAACCCACCGCCAGATTGACACCCATCACCATCAAGCGTTATACTGTTGCCCGCCCACCCCCCCAAAAAAAAATCTTGTTGTAAGATTAAGAATGTTTCACAAAAATTCAGCTATTCTCGATGTAGTGGTACCTAGATTTAGGAGTTGAATTCATTTTGTGGCCAAGCTCCTCACACAATTGACTTGTACATGGTAAGAAATACAGATCCTTTGTTATTCGTTGAGTAACTCAACTTCTCTCTGTTTTGTGTGTAGGCCAATACCAGCTATGATATAAAATTCATCTTGAGGCAGTTTGTTGGGGAGAGTAGACAGTGATTTGCCGCCATCTTGCAGCAACTAAAGGCAATTATTCACTTTTTTGGAGGGGAGATGAAGAAGAGGTCTATTCCTGGCTGATTTTGACCGAACGGCGATTGTAGCAAACCCATTTTCATTCATTCGTTTGCGTGTGTCTTGTGGTGGTTCATGCATGTAGTGACCTGGAAGGTGGCGGCGGGCAGGTTGGAGATGGCGATGTACTGCAGGTTGTTTTGCAGCGTGTAGATGAGAGACGGGACAGCCAGCTTCAGCGTGTCCCTGTATTGTAAGAAGATGGTGTCCACCAGGAACAACGTCATCTCCTTGACGTTGACTGATTGACCGCATGGGCATGCGCGCCGGCACACACAAAAGATGAGACATTAGTTTCATGACTTGACAGAAATAAGACCATTTCCTTCGGAAAAAAAAATAAAGCGGGGTTTGCCGATTTTATATTTTGTGGCATTCAAAACCCAAAGTCAAATGTTCTGCAATGATTTTGCCATCTGTACCTGCAATTTTTCTCGGTGTACACTTATTTTCAGTGACAAAACCAATAATTGCGATCAAAGGGACACGAGACTTACATCTTTTCTGCAGCAGGATGATGAGGAGGCACGCCAGCACCTTGAGGACCTCCGCCATGACCACGGCCGACGTGGCCAGGAAGCGCTCGCCCGGCAGAGTGCGCACGTAGTGGATGCTGAGGATGAGCGACGCATTCTGGACGACCAGCACAGCCAGACTGATGTACTTAAGCTTGTGGTTCACTGACACACCAAAACACACACACACACACACACACACACACACACACACACACACACACACACACACACACACACACACACACACACGATCACTGTCTCATCACTGGGACACCAGCTGTCCTCATCAAAAATTCAGTAAATTCAGTGACATCCAGACTATGATTTCCAACAGACAGGACAAAATTGGTCCTGAGGAGAATGCATCCTTTTTGCTCAGCGGGACATCAATCTTACTGTCATCCACAAAGCAGTGGAAGGAAACACCACGTTTTTGTAGGATGGAACCAAGGGGAAGTAAATATAATGAAAACAGCAAGGGCCCCAGAACAGAACCCTATGGAACATCAAGTGTGTCTTCTGCCCATATCTATTCTAGCCTGTATAACTTTCTCATGCCCGCAGTAAAACCAGGTGTGTCCTTGTCGCAATCTGTTCAGCCTTGATACGCTGCTTACTGGAGACTTTGTGGATAATGCGCAGAGCGTAGGAATGCGGCAGTTGATACAAGCCAAGAATCGGTTTGGGAGAGACCAAAGTCCCGATGCCGCACCATAAGTTTCGGTACCGCCCTTTCTGATCATATAAATATGTTTTGAATCCTTTGCGCGCGTGCACTTGTAATTGAAGGCCATTGTCTGTAATTCATTTGTGCCAGGAATATTCTGCAAGTAAAACCTTCGAAGGCACTGTTCATCATCTCCGGCCTGTATTTGGATAGCCAACATCCTCACCATCCGAAATTAAACGAACATGCGGAGGAAAGAAGGCCATCTTGCTCCAACAATCAACGTATGAGCTCTGACACTTAATTTCAGTTTTTATTGACAGGGGGGCAGGGCCGGAGTCAGAGCAACCTGGGGTAATGCAAAAAGTCCTACCAGCCAAACCACTCTAGAGTGCTACCGCGAACACCCACCTGACGCTGCAGACAAGCCAGCGGAATACTGTGGTCCATAGTATCGAACACTGCAGGTAGATCCAACAAAACAAGACACACAGTCTCCGGCGTCATTGGCCAAAAAAATTTTTTTTTAAAAAAACCGTTAACAAGGCTGACTCTGTGCTATGTATCATCTTGAAATCTGACTGGAAAACCTCCATGGCATTATGTTCACAAAGAAAGATTTTAACTGTGTGTGCACACGACTTTGACACACCCCTAATCTAAACTATATAATTTTCGTTTTTGTACTTCTCCTTCTCTTCTGTTGCTTCTCGAATGGCCGTCACCTCGTGTTTTTTTAATGTGTCCAGCTCGTTGTTGGTTGATGGCCGTCTCACAAGGGAGGCAGCGATCGCCTGCTGTGTTAGGGCGGAGTACTTCTACTCAGACTTGACTTTCCTGCTCGCGAATGGCTGATTTTCCCTGCAATATCTGCAACGATAACAATTCTAAATCTTACTTTGACACGAAGGAAACTTATTTTAATAAACACGACATGCTTGGACAGAAAAAAAAGGCAATAATTACATGTTTGTGAAATCCGCAAGAGAAAATAAGGATGCTGATAGCATCGACTAGTGAGGGGGAAACACGATTTGATCTGTTTCTTCTTCAGGTCTTTCATGTGCACCGCTGTTGATATAGCGCTGCATAGTGGCGTAATCCTGCAACTGCAGCTAAAACACATCACTGCCACAGAGGGACATCAATTGCTCAATCAGCATCGCTGGAGCTTGACGCTGCGTTGAGCGATATCAATCGGTCTGGCTGCGGCGTAGCGCAAAATTAGCCACGCAATTTTGAATTTCGGAAAAATCCTGTTGGCGGACATCACCAGAAGGCAGACTGCTATCGATAAGGGGCTCCTCTCTCTCCTGTGGTTGAGAGGAGAGAAATTTAATCGGTGCTGTATGTTGCACATAGAGCACATTTGACAATAAAGTTGACTTGAACTTTAATCATGGCCAAAACCGATTCACCAATACTCGGGTGAACCTCCTTCAAGAAGTGAGGAGGACAGAGTTACGAGGGGAGCCGATGCACGAGTTTGCTCATGAAACTATGTCTCAGGTGTGTGTGTGTGTGTGTGTGTGTGT